CCCCCCCCTGGGACGTCATTAAACGCCCTAAGCTAACCGCTGCACTTTTCACTTTCTAATAAGACAGGCGAGAGACTGCAGGTACGCCTCCAACCCCCCCTCCTAACACTCCCAATTCCTTGTCAGTCCGGTTATGTAAACTTGTAGATTTGCATACACTGCGACTACCCCCCCCCCCCGACGTGCGGCCCTTCGGTTTGGGCGATTCACGCCCCCGTTTGATGCCTCTTTAGCTTTGATTCACCTTGATATTGAACATTTGTTGACGATTAAGGCTTCAGACGTGTCAGACGCAGGAGTTTTGTCGTATTCTGTCATCTTTTATTACCACCGTGCAGAAAAATCAAAGAAAGGCGTGACTTTTGATGTTCTTTCGCCTTTTTTGTTCATTACACAGCAGACAATCGAAGGGGGAGGGCGGGACGCCTACTGAAGCAAGTAAATTGTTTCGGATTTTGGGGTGGCTGGTGTCCCTGGAAAAATGTCTCCGCATGCAGAAGTTGTCACGCGTCGTTGTATTCCCTTGACTTTTTTATTTTAAAGTGGCCGTTGAGCAATCCCGTTGCCGCTGTTTTGCGAGCCAATAAGACAAACGACAGACCGCCGCGTACGTTGCATGTTATTGCTCTTTGTCAGGCACTAATCTGCATAGCCACATTACGATAAAGAGAGGCGATTGTGTCAGAAATGAAGAATGCCCGGTTAACGGTGAGACCTGAACACATTTGTCACCCTAAAAAGCCCCCCCAGCTCCCACACACGTCCCCCACCATGCTGATTGATGAAGGCACAACAGCTGGCAGCGCAATGAAAAGTGAAATGAGGATCTATATTTTCCGGGCGAGATGAGGCCTCCTCCCCATTTCAGTCGCTCTTTCACCCGAATTTATCACCTTTTTACTCTTTTTTTTTTTTTTTTGAGTGCGATGATATCAGCTCGTGAATCCCTCACCCCAAAAGAGCTTTCGGTTTCGATGATTGCCGTTGGTTCATCTTTCATTCGAATCAACGTAGGATTCTATTAATCTGTTGACCAGCGTGACGTAGCGGCCCGGCTACAAGCTATAAAGTCACGAGCGTCGTAATTGGCGAGGGGGAGAAGTAGCATACATTGGACCCCCCCTGCACTCTGATTCACATCTGAGTCACCGCCGCCGCGTTTTGCTGCAGTATCGACGGCAACTAGTTGATCTTGACAGTAATATACACCAGGAGAACAGGAAACTACAGCATATTACTTTGTGGGTTTCTTACAAAAAGAATCTTTTTATTGCATTTATAACACTTGGCACGGTACAAATTCTTGGTGCTTTTACAAGATAAACCTGTAAAGATCAACGCTGACCTTTTTTTTGTTTGTTTTTTTTTGTTAAAGAAATGACTTTTTTTTTGTATAAATATGTCCTCTCATCACTGCATTTTCTGTAGCACGGTGTAAAAATCACACAGAATGGCCACCCCCCACCATCCCTGTTTTTTTTTTTTCCTAAACAACACTACCCTCATTTGTCAAAGTCAAGACAGCTTCTAAAACAACATATTTTTTTTAAACAGAAGTTACAAGTTAGAAAATAGTTTCATTTTCTTTTTAATATATGTTTCTCTGTCACCAGCTCATGGTAGTTTTCAACGTGTCCATATATATTTATTTATAAGCATGTACAACAACAACTTGCCAGTCTTTGCGTCTGCTCTGTACAAAATAGTTGTTTCTGTCCTCTTTTTCATTGTGCATTCTATTGCATGATTTAAGTGGTGGTGGTGGTGGTGGGGGGGGGGGATAAGGGGATGTGGCTTGGAGGGCAATAGCTGGGGCCTAAAGGTGGGCTATCTAAATTTGAGTCTCCTGTACTTTCTCCTTGGTGTGAGTTTTAATGACAAAGGGCTCGGCCATTGCCGTGATGGTGCTGGGTAAGGTTCGAGGCAAAGAATTCCCCACGTTGTTCTCTGTCCATTTGGCCCCGTGACCGCTCGGCTTGTAGGTGTTGTATTTTGGCTTCAAGGTGCTGAAGTCCATTTTGTGGGGGCTGTAGTCCATTTTGGGTCTCTGGGCGTGGGGGCTGAATTCCGATTGAAAGGCGCCGAAGTCTGCTTTGTGCGGGCTGAAGTCCGTCTTGAATGCGTTATAAGGGTCCTTGGGGTTGTAGTTGCCGTCGGGTTTACATTTCTGGACACTGTAGTCCATTTTGGGTTTCGGCTGAGTGCCGTAGCCAGGCTTGAATGGACTGTAATCCGGTTTCTGTCTCGGGTGAGTTCCAAAGTCGTGCTTGAACGGGCTATATTCAACCTTGTGTTTATGCTGAGTGTTGTAGTCAGACCTTAATGGGCTGTAATCGTGTTTGGATTTTGGTTGGGTACTGTAATCTCTCTTAAAAGGGCTGAAGTCGGTCTTTTGCCTTGGATGAGTGCTGCAGTCTGATTTGAAAGGGCTGTAGTCTGACCTGGCTTTCGGGTGAGTCCCAAAGTCCGGTTTGAATGGGCTGCTTTCTGCTTTGGATTTGTGAGCGGCGTAATCCTGTCTGAAGGGGCTGTAGTCAAGCTTTGGTCTGTGGAGGTTGAAATCTGGCGTCGATTTGCGAGCGCTGTAGTCTTGGACGGACTTGTGGCCATGGAAGTCCATGTTGGGCTTGTACGTCGTATATTCTGCTTTCGGTTTGTGAAGGGTGAAATCAGGCTGAGGTATGTATTCGGCCTTGGGTTTGTTGTAGCCGTAATTCGCCTTGTGACTGAGATATTCCAGTTTGTGGATGCTGTTATGGTCTCTGATTTCGGGGAGCGTCACAGCTGTCTCTTGTGCTGCAGAAGCCGGCGGCGGAAGGTCCTCCTCGTCGACCTGGATGATCTCCACGGTGCGAGCGGCCGCCACGGTACTCCTCTGCTGGTGGCGCTTTCTCAGTTTGTAGAAGGCAATGAGCATCACAGCAGCCATCAGGGTGACTGCCACAAAGCAGCCAATTATAATCTTGGTGGTTTTCATGACCTCATCCAGACTCGGGCCAGACTTGCCAGGTTTGCCGGTTGCCCCTTTGAGTCCGGGCCCCGCCGATGGCTTGGCCGCACCGGGTGGGCTGTCGGTGCTTTGGAGCAACACGGTCGGCGTGGAGATGAACACTGGCTGAAAGACGGAAGGTGAGGCCGTTGTGGCGGTCGTTCCGAGGCCCAGTCCTCCTCCCGCTACGCCAGCCACCGTAGTAGCAGCAGATGTCGTCGTGCTCTTCTTGGGTTTGGGCATTTCTGTGGTTGGGCCCAAGACCTCCACCGTCACAGTGGTGAAGTAGCTCAAGTTGGATGTGTTGAGCTCGGCCGCGCTCACGTTGAGGTAGGCTGAAGCATTGGACTTGCCGGCTGCATTGGATACCATGCAGGTGTACGTGCCGGTGTCAACAGCCAGGACGTTTGAAAAATTCAAGGTGCCATCGTTCAGTACCGATATCCTCAGATGACTTGAGGCATGAGTCAGGATGGTACCATTTGGTAGGAGCCAGCGTACTGAAGACATCTGGGCCGTGCGACAGCGAAGCTCAGCGACTCTCCCAGCCGAGATGTTAAAATCCCTTGGCGCGTCTGCAATGAACGGGGCGGAACACTGGGTTGCAGCTCCCTCGCCTCGATCCACCTCCACGAGCTGCCGCCCTCTCATGGTGGCAGGTGAGTTGCAGCGTCCACAGCAAGTCGAGTTTGTGGGGATGTATTCCCTTAGCCAACGTGCTAACCATACAGCGTCACAGCCACAGTTCCAAGGATTATGGTGAAGATGGAGCTCCACCAGATACCTGAGCGGGGAAAACAGATCGTGGGGCACAGCGCTCAGGTTATTATGGGCGAGATTAAGCTCCACCAGTGATGGTAAATCATCAAAGGCATTGCGCTCGATCACGCTTATCTGTGAGTTCATCACCCAGAGCTTTTTCAGCAAGTTCAGGCCTTTGAAGGAGCTCGGCTTTATCACGGGGAAGTGATTTTCCGAGATCTCCAGCTCCTCCAGGCCCTTCAGGGGACTCATGTTTGGCATCTCCCCCCGGATGTTGCACATGCCCAAGTTGAGGTACTTGAGATTTTGTAGGCCTTCGAAAGCTCCTTCCGAGATGTACTCCAGTTTCCGCAACTCGCCAAGGTCCAGTCGCATCAGGGAGGGCACCCGGTTAAAGGCGTAGGAAGGAATACTCTCAATGGGGTTGTTCCTCAGCCACAGTTCTCTTAGTTTGGACAGGTACTCAAAGGCCCCACTGGGGACCACCGTCAGCCGGTTATCAAACAGCTCGAGAGTGTTGAGGCTGGTCAGTCCATTAAACGCGCCCACCTCAATCTGCCGGATGGCATTTCGCCCCAGCTGGAGCACCTCAAGGTGGTGCAGGTGGCGGAACGAGTCAGCCTGCACCGCCTCAATGGCGTTTTCCATCAGATTGAGGTGTCGCGTGTTGGCCGGTATGCCCGGGGGCACGCGGGTGAGGCCCCGCCGGGTGCACACCACTTTTCCCTGCTGATTACTGCAAGAGCACTGTGGGGGGCAGCCCTGGGGTCCTTGCGAGGCCGCCACCGCCCCTAAGGCCAGGGAGGCGCTGCTCCATGCTCGTGCCATCAGAAACACTACGCAGAGTAGGGCGGCTTTCCTGGCACAATGCGCAGCTACCCTCCCCAGGAGACTCATGATGTGGCACATTCATAATTCAGCATCATCTGGGGGGCTGGTGGTGGTGTGTGTGGGTTTTTGGGGGGGTTCAGGAAGATGAGATGGTTTACTGACTTGAGTGTTATGGGGACCAGAGTCAAAAGCGAGAAGGAGACTGAAGATTGAAAGGCGACATATTGATATCGTAGGGAAACTTTTGTCGATATTTAGTTAACAGCGTATTCCCGTGAGATGTGCTCAGGAGTGAGGGGAGTGGGTCGGGGGTGCTGGCTGAATTGCGACATGAAGGACACGGTGGTAAACGGAGCAACTGAAAGCCATATTACAAAGACAGAAGTGGAGACGCGAGGGTGTCGCAAACCGATGCAAAGAGGGTTTGAAACACTCGTCACCTACCTCAAGTTAACATTACAGGTCCTTGAACTGAGATCTATAGCCTCCCTCACAACGAGCGGTGGCACTCGCTTGAGATGAACGCGTTTCCCCGAGCAGCGACCAAAAAAAAGCCTTTTAAACAACTGCTCTGCTAAACCAGGATGAGCCCTTTTGGAAATCCATACATCCAATCCGAAAGATTCAAAGGCCCTTTATGATGGATATTTGTCTCTTGAGTAACAACAACAACAACAACAACAAGAAAAAGACTGTACGTAGGAATCCACTCAGTCTCCCAAAGAAGCAGTGCTCCACCGCTGGCTTCTGGCAGTCAGCTCCGTTTGCCTCGCATGTCCTTGGAATCCGACAGTTGATCCCCTCGATAGACACCGTAACCAGGTTTCCATAGCGCCGGTCGGGTGACACAGTTGTCGAAAAGAGTCAAATGGGGCCGAACAAAAAAAAGGGTTGAAAGAGAATTCCACAGTCCCTCTTTTCCAGCGTTCTTTGCTTTGCTTTGCGCTCCGGCGGCGAGATTGACAATGCGGGGGTTAAAAAAAAAAAAAAGCCCCCCCCTCCTCCTCCTCTTTATATTCCTGTGCCCACTTTTCAGTGGTCAATCATTTGGTCGGTTGGTCAGTCTGACAGCTCTTCTATCTTTCCATCCCGAACGTGACGACGTGTCCACTTGATTTTTTTATTTTTTTTTGCTTCCTCCTTCGCGCTTTTCCTGCGCACTCGGCGGGGCTTTTGCAAAGGCTCGGTGCGGTTTCCGACTTTTTCTCTTGCCGTCCTTATCCCCTCGTCCCCTCTCGTCAAGTTGCCGCACACTGCGGCCGTGCGGCAAATTGCCGGCGCACGCGCATCATCCTTGCCAAGCGCACACAGCAGCAGCTGCAGCCTGCCTCCCGC